AGTGAATGAATGAATGAATGAGAGTGAACAGTAAATGTTCAAATCCTCATTACCTATTGAAGGGCCCTGTGAAAATGGAGTCCGGGGCTACTGACACCCACCCTTTATTTCCAAACAGCTCTGGATAGAAGTCACCGAGTTGTTCCGAGTCTCTGACAGTCCCAGCTGAATCCTCCCACTTCACTGCTTTGAGGGTCCTGATCCCACCTGCCCTGTGCGGCTGGCCATTCCCTGCCATCTGTGAGAAACAGATCAATGACCTACATAAGAATCTGAGGATGGGCCAGGCATGATGGCTCACGCCTGTAATCCTAGCACTCTGGGAGGCCTAGGCGGGTGGATCACTCAAGGTCAGGAGTTCGAAACCAGCCTGAACAAGAGCGAGACCCCATCTCTACTAAAAAAAAATAGAAAGAAATGATCTGGACAACTAAAAAAAAAAAAAATATATATATAGAAAAAATTAGCCGGGCATTATGGCGCATGCCTGTAGTCCCAGCTACTCGGGAGGCTGAGGCAGAAGGATAGCTTCAGCCTAGGAGTTAGAGGTTGCTGTAAGCTAGGCTGACGCCACAGCACTCTAGCCCGGGCAACAGAGCAAAACTCTGTCTCAAAAAAAAAAAAAGAATCTGAGGATGTTTCTTTGAGGAGATTTTTAATTTATAGATCATCCTGAGATTTTTGTTGACAATAAATAGTTGGGAGTTTCCACCCCAATTTTTTTTCTCTCTTACTGAAAAAGGTTCCAGCCAAAAAGAGTTATTTCCTCTCCTTGCCTGAATCTTAAATCTTTGTCCAAAGACAGCTTGTTTTAATTGAAAATGTCCAATCAATCTCTCCCCTCCTCCCCGCTGATGTCCTATTCCTCGACTCAAGCAGGGCCATTGCAGTAAATAATCTGGAGTGAGGCCTCCAGGGTTTGAGGAGTATGTTATAGGGTTGGAAGGGGGAGGGAAAGAGGGTTGTCCCAGACAACTCTCACCTTTAAAACACTATCTTTTCAACAGAGCCTGTCCAAAACGATCAACATCATACAGTGGGATGTTTTACTGGAATAGCCCAACTCCTTTCCCTTGTAGAGCTCAAGGTGATTGATCAACAAGGATATCTCCTACAGTCGATTCAAGTCTGGCTCTCAGTACGGGTTGGTAAGGAAGGGATCGGGCTTCTCTCTTCCCCATTCATTCATTCAATCAGCCCCCATGTTATTCATCAACTAGGTACAGTCACACGCTCCATCCCAACAACCCTGTGAGGCAGGCATTATTATTCATGTTTCATAGATGAGGAAACAGAGGCCTATGCAAAGTCACAGTGTTCTAGTTCCCTATTTCTGCATTAGAAAATCTCCCCAAAACTTAGTGGCTTAAAACAGCAATAGCTTTTCTCTTGTGTTCTATGCAAGTCAGAAATTCGGGAAGGTCTCAGCTGGGTGGTTCTAGCCTAGAGCCTGATGCAGCTGCAGTCAGGCCGTGGCTGGAGCTGGAACAGCAGAGTGCCAGAGGAGCTGTAGGCTGGCCAGGAATCTCCCTTCTCTCTTTCCCTGTCTCAAGGTCTCAGGGCAGTCAGGCTGCTTGCATGGAGGCTCAGGACTTCAGCTCGAGTATTCCAGCAAGCAAGTACAAGTTACATCACTTTTTATGACCTCACTCCAGAAGTCCCACAATGTCACTTCTCCCACTTCTGACATTCTTTTGGTTGCGAGTGAGTCACACACCCATGCAATTTTAAGGGGAGGGGACATAAACCACACCTCTCAGTGGAAGAAGAGTCAAGGTCATATTATAGAATAACATTGAGATGGGGGATATTGTTGCAGACATCTTTGGAAAATGCAATCTGTCAGACACAGCATGAGGTAGAGCCAGGATTTGCATTAGGTACATCTGCCTCCAAAACTTCGGCTGCGACCTTTTAGGTCAATCCACGGGGACCTCTGCTTTCCTCTGTGCCCTGTAGCTCTTACTGTCAGCACACACAGCCCTGATTTGCCCTCCTGAAGCCAGCCAGAGACCGGCTGGGTGAAAGCAGGCAGCCCGCCCCTGTGGGCCCCAGCAGTGATTCTGCCTCCAGGGTCTGCTGGTCAGAGAGGCCATGCCCAATGCCAGCTTGTGAACTTTTTAAAGAAGAGGACAGAGAAGGTCAGTCACATCCAGAGGAAGAAAGCAGGTGGCAGCCCCAGAGCACAGCGAGCCTACAGTGCGTCTCACTGTCATAAACAACTTGTCTGGTGTTTTTCCTTCTCCCACCAGGCGCTGGCCTGGAATGACTCAGGCTTTGACAGAAAAGGTGCCTTCAAGTTGGGAAACAGTCCAGAACAGTGGAAAGCTCATGGTTCTGCAATCAGACCTGCCTGGATTTGAGTCCTGACCATGCCATTACCGGTTATGCAGCCTTGGACAAATTCCTTAACTTCCCAGAGCAAAAAAGGGATAAAATTGCCTTCATCACTGAGTTATTTTGAAGATTAAAATGCGTATATAGGCAAAGCACTTAGGGAAGTGCCAGACACATAGTAGGTGTTTCATAAATGCTAGTTTTCATGTCCTGGGCCATGCCCAACCCCAGCTTGGGGACTTTGTGAAGAAGGTGGTGAGAACTCTCTTGACTCTTCCCCACGTGCGTGTCCATCCCCGTGGCCCTGGATGGAGTGGAAACCCAGAAAACCTGGCGCAGCCCCAGACAGCACAGAAGGACGGCACACGGCAACTGCCGGGCAATCCTGCAGACGGAAGCAGCAGCATCCTTCCTTCCCTTTCCACTTTGTCCTCTCCACTGTGACCTACCAAGACCCCTCCCTCACACATTGTCCTAAAACATTGCAGCCTTCCAGAAATGCTTGTTGGATGGACGAATGGACTGTTGCTCCTTTTGTGTCCTCTCCCTGAAATGCCCTCTTCAGTTGTCCCACCTGTGTAGTCCAGCTGAGAACAAGCCTTCTCCAGAGAGCCCCTCAGACCAATCTCAGGTTCCTGCTCCTCTACATGTCTCCTGTGTGCCCCCAATATGCTCCTGAGTCAGGGATGTGAGTTTGTCTCTCAGTAGGCTGAGAGTTCCCTACCATTAGGCAAGAGAGACACAGACGTGGATATGAAATGCGGTGGGTCTGGGAGGCTGTCCCGGACAGGTAGTTTAGGGAGGCAGTTGAATGCAGGGAGCCAGGGTGCTTAGGTTCAGTTCCAGCTCCATCACTGATTAGGTGCCCAACCTTGGGGGAAATCACCCTCTCTGAATGGTGGGAATAATATACCTACCTCATTGGGTTATTGTGAGGACTGAGTCAATATACCTAAGGCACTTAAAAGATTGGCCAGCACATATTAAACATTATGTATTAGCTATTATTATTTATTCATTCAACAAATATATATTTCACACTATTGCCAGGTGAGTATTCACATGATGAATAAGACAGACGTGGTCTCTGCCTCAAAGAGCTTGCAGACCAGAAGGGGTTAGTTCACACAAGAGATGGTTAAAATACAGTCTGATGATTGGTCCTGTTGGGGAAGACCAGGAAGAAGAGGCTGTGGGAAAACCCAGGAGGGACCCCATCCCAGCAAGGGCAGCCGAGGAAGACTTATCCAGTAAAGTGACAAGTGAACAAGATTTGAAGGCTGAGAAGGCAGGGACAGTGCTCTGGGAAGGTGGCATGGTTCGGGCAAAGGCCCGGAGGCAGTTCAGTACTTGGGGGACGTGGAAGGCAAGGAGGATAGCAAGCACAAAGCTGGGAGAGTAATCAGGGACCCAGCTATGATCGGCCTTGTAAATCATGCTCAGAAATGTGGACTTTAAAGCAAGTGGGAGCCACGGAAGTGTTTTACTCAGCTGAGTGACATGGTCAGACCTGGCTACACTGAAGAAAATGGACGAGATTGGGGCACTCCTGTGGCAGGGAGGCCCGTTAGGACAGGATGACACTAATCCAAGGGGAAGATGATGCTGGCCTATTCTAGGGGGTGGAAGGAAGTGGACAAATTCAAGAGATAGGAGGTCTCATGGAGAAGAGTTTGTGACAGCTTGGATATTCAGAGCTGAGGGGGGAGGGAGAAGGAGGTTAAGGGTTAAAATAGGTAAATGAGTATTCCCCATACTATGAAGTAAGTGATAAGCACTTTGAATGTGCTTATCTGTTCAGAAGCTGTGGAAGTATGAGGCAAGGGCACCAGTTGTAACCCTGGGAGGAGAGGTGAGGAGTATGCTAGAAGGGTCTACTAAAGACGTGTCACCCAATTGGAGAATTGATGGGTATAAATTAGCCAGGGGAAAGGGGGAAAGGCATTTAAGACAGGAAATAGCATATGTGAAGGCCCATAGATGTGGGATATAATGCACAGAGCAGATACTGTGTGTTGCTGAATAGATGATTGTTGTACTAATTTATACTAAGGTGTTAATGATCACCATGGAATTGGCCCTTTCCCCTTCCCTGGGGAGTTAGTACTTTAACAAGTCATGAATCTTAAGCCTAATGATTCATTATTGGTAGAACTTCAAAGTGAAATGGGGACACTATTTAGGGTCACAGAGAGTTTTACCACTGTACCCGAGGTTACCTGAGAGTCAGACAGGCCCTGGTATATAGACAACAAAGGTCTCTTGCCCTTGGGTTTTGCTTATCTGGCTCTATCCTGAGCCACCTGAGGCCAGACCAGGGAAGTCCAGCGATTTCCAAAGGGCTGCAGTGTACCCTAAAAGCTGTAAGCACAGTTTTTGGGGTAAGACTACCTAGACACGTATCCTGTCTCCTCCTTTTCCCAGGTGTGTGATCTTAAGCAAATTACTTAACTTCTATGCACCTGTTTCCTTATCTGTAAAATAAGAATAATAGTAGTAATTACTAGTTAAGCTTTCATGAGGATCAAAGAAGAGAGTACATACTGACGCTAGAACAGTGAGTGGTGTTCCTGTTTTTACTACTACGTCATTTTTATTAGTAGTCCTCTTTTCGCTCTGCCTCAGTCCTTTCCAGAGTTTCTCCTTAATGCACACACATGCAGATATGAAGCTGGGGCGGAACGTGGCAAGAACGTTTTTGGATTATTATCGGCTGAACACCTTGGTTGAGAAGGTGGCGATTCCCATGCCGAGGCTGCGGTAAGTGGCAGAGCAGAGCCATCTGGGCTCGAGTCCTGCTTCATGGGCTTTGTGTGCATCAGCTAAGGGGCAACTTCCCTTAGCCTCTCACTGGCTCTCAGTTTCCCATCTGTGCCACAGGAAAGATAATCTCGGCCACAGAGATTGTGTGGGGCAGAAGAGCGTATTTCCTGAGCATAAGTATCATTAAGGGGTGAGACATTGTGTGGGGGGCATATTTCTGGGTCTAACATGGGAATCCACAGGGATGAGAGTGTTGCTGGGAGCTGAGTTCAGTCATTGTTCTAGGTTTGTCTGGGTGTCTCCATATGTCACTTCATCTAACAGCCCATGCTCTAGGGTCCTTCTTCTCCAATCCTTTGGTTTCCTCATCTGTGGAGTGGGGACAATGGTACTCACTTATAGGGTTATTATGAGATGTGTGTCAAAGCACCCAGAGCAGTGCCAGGCATACATATATCCTGTCAGTGCAGTCCCCTTCCCTGAAGATATGAAGGTTTGGGGCTGGAGAGGACACACTCCTGAGAAGTTCTACCTCAGCTTCTCTGCTGGGGCCAATTTACAGGGCCAGTGAGGAGAGAAGGTGGGGAGGTGAGCATCTGTCCTGACTGAGGGCTGGGCCAGAGCTTGAAGTGCTGGGTGTTTCCAAGCCCACTGGCGGTGAGCCCAGTGAGCATTTGGGCAGTGACATCCAATGACATCTGGAATGTGGCCCTGCCCTACCTCTTGGTCTCATTTCCTACTCCCCCAGTGATCTATCCTCCTTGAAGGACATGACCAGGCCCAACTCCTGGCTCCCGCCAGACCATTCTTCCCACTGACCTTGCCCATGACCTTGCCCAGATACTTTGGTGCCTCAGGGCCTTTGCACTGATGCACTTTCCTCCCTACCCTATTAATAAAAACAATGTAAATAGCTGTTATTTATTGTATAAAGTACTTTTTGTACATCATCTTATTTATTCCTCATAGACATTATATTTTCCACCTTACAAATGAGGAAAAGGAGGCTCAGAAAAATACAGAGAAGGTCTGAGTTGCCTGAGGTCAAAGAGTTTTTGGCAGAGCCAGGGTTTGCAGTTGAACTGAAGTTCAACTAAGGTCCACCTCAAGTGGAAGTTCATCAGTGTGGATTCAAATTCTCTCAGGCTCATACAAGTTTTGGGATCTTAGGCAAGCTTCTTGGCCTCTCGAAGCTTTTCTCTACCTACCTATGCATGGAGGTAATAACAACCTCTAAATATAGTTTTGCAGATTAGCAAGCTTAGCATGGTGCCCAGCAGTCAAGAGGTGCACATTAAATGTTTTCATCGCCTCTCGTTTCTGGGTTACAGCCCCAGATTTCCAACCAGCCCGTCATGGCCTGGGGAAAGTCCCTTGACTTACCTGGTTGGGATGTTTCAGGGCCCTCGTTCTGCAACGCTGTGAGTATATATCTCCAAGCCCCAGGTCCATGTAGAGTCTGCATAACAATGTACTCTGAGACCCTGTCTTGGATTGTTCATAAATCACCTGGGGTCTTTGTGCTCCCCATCCTGGGGTTTTAGAAACTCCTGCAGGAGAATCACACCTATTTCTTGTGCCCCTTGAGTGCCTGTGCTTTACTGAGCACGCTCACATATATACACTCATTCACTCTCTCAGGAAGGCGACACTATGCCAGGCCCTTGGCAGGAAGAAGATGCCAGGATGAGTAGCTGATTAAAGCATGACCCCTGCCTCTGAGGAGCTCACCTCCAGAGGAAAATTCTTAGTTCGTTCTTAGAAGTCATTCTTGATTGGTTAAAGTTCTTAAAAATTTAAAGCTTTATAAAACTCACAAGACCCATTTACAAGTTAATTTGGGGATCGTGTCTTTCAGGTCTTCTGTCAGCCTGAATAAAATTGTCTTGATCCTTCACCACTTTTTCCTGGCATGTTGCATTGTCATAGGCCAGTGAGATGGTGTTGAAACTCAGGGAGACTTTAGAGTTCACCTGGTCTCTCTTCATGGTACAGATGAGGACAGTGGGGCCCAAGGAGCAGAAGGACCTGGTCGGGGCTATGCAGTCAGAGCCAGGACCTGAACCCAGGCCCTCGCCCTAGCCCGGTGTGCTCAGCATCAGCCAGTACAGCATTTTGGGAGGCGGGGGATGGAGGGGACCCTGCAGCTGGATCTAAAGGATGCAGGGGAGTTCTCAGGGCCCTGAGTTCAGCTGTTCATGACACCTCTTTACCCCGAGCTTTGGAGCCCTGTTTAGAAAAGAGCTGGAGAGCTCATTCCTCATAAGTCCACAGCCTTGTGGACTTTAGGTAAATGCACCCACGCTTAAATTTAAAATAATATTAACTTCCTCCCTCTCCCTATACCTCTGCCTCATAAAACCATGAACACCATTTAGCTCTAAATTGGTCAGTAATCCTTTAAAAATGGATTCCCAAGAGGATACGAGGCTCTGAGCTCTGATTTGGGATTTGAATTCTTTCCCCCTTTTTTTTGTATTATTTTCCAACCAAGCATCAAATAGCTTAAGTGAAAGAGCAGTTCTGGTTTTAAAGGAAAATTACATGTTTTGACTCAAAATTAATCTTCATTTTCTCCCATCTCCATGGATAATTACAATATGTCAGTTTCCACCCACATGCTGGTGGGAGCCTGTTGGCATCCTTGGGTGTTAGGCCACCTTCGGGTAGTGTCCCTGGGGAGGGGCAGCAATGTAGGCACAAGAGCTCAGGCTCAAGAACATGGCATTGATAACCAAAGTGGAGATCACACATTTATTTGGACCACAGTGACATAGTCATAGAACTAAAGTCAAAAATGCCCATCAAAGGGAATAAAGTTAGACAGGAAAAATGTACACGCCAGGTGCGCTTCTGTGGGTAGACAGAGCATGAGCGTGGAGGGTGGGCTGGCCTGTGGGTGAGGGGGGCTCAGGCTCAGCAACAGGCTGGGAGGGCTGGCTCTGTGGTGAGGTCAGGCCGTGTGTATGTGTGCACAGGGGGCTTGTCGGCTACTCAGCACACTAGAACCCACCATGTTCCAGGCCCTGTGCCAAGTGCTGTAGGATTATACATAACCCCTGCCCATCGGGAGCCCAAATTTATGGAGGATAAAGGCAGGTACACACGCAAAGGTAACAATATTGAACAGTGTATAATAAGTACTCAACTACGTGTCAGATTGCGCCTTCTCTCAAAAACCTTCTACGGCTCCTCATTACCTTCAGGGTAATGTTTCAACTTTTCTTCTTGCTATTTAAGACCTTGGCCTACATTTTTTTCCCTACATTTTAAACTTCATTTACTGCTTCCTACCACACCTCTATCCCTGTGATCAGCCTCTCCACCCCACCTGATTCTTTCCACTTCATGTCCTATGCTGCAGCCTGGACAGGTTAGCTGTTTTCATGCTTCCTTGTCTTTGTGCGTCCTTTTTGTTCTTCCTGGAATGTTCTTCATTTCTGCTTATAGATAGTGAACTCCCGCTTATCTTTCAAAACTCAGTCCAGATATCACACCCTCTGTTTTCTTGTCCCTGTTCTCTGCCTAAGACAGCTGCTTCCTCTCTGCTGAGCTCCTAACTGTGTTTTGTGCATACCTCTAGCATGGTGTGTGTCCCATGTGCACGGTCATGGCATCTTTGCATGTCTGGCTTCCCCACTAGACAGCCTGCTCCTTGACAACTGTCTTAATCACTTCTTTATCTTTAGTGCATCTGCAGGGCCTAGCATAGTTTAAGTCCTAAATAAGCCCTAAATGTAACTGAACTATACAATGGTAGAACTGAGGAAGCCCCCAGAAATCATCTGCTTCAACCCTTTCACACTGTAAAAAAGAAAAGTGAGACCCAACCAGAAATTACCCACCCACACAATCTGGCAAGTGTTTGGTAGCTGGCAGGCATATCCCAGTAAGACCCCCTTCCAGCGGAGGCAGCAGGGTTTGAACTTGTTTTTAAAGGACAAGTTGAATTTGGATTGATGAAATAGAAAGGGGGAGGTATTTTCCATGTTAAGGGATAGGGTTTGGGAAGGCATGAAGCAGGACCTAACAGGACACGTTCCAAGGCAATGACAAGGGCAGGATTTTAGAGCAAAAGAGATGGTAAAGATAACAGTGAAAGGTCATTTCTAGTTGTCCAACACTCTTCAAACACCCACTCCACACCAGACCAGCACTTGGCTTAGTAATTATAGAGCAAAAGAAAACATATCAAATTTAAAATTTCTTGAAAGAAACGGATGGGCAAAGACCCACCTAGAAAATGGCAGGGTGAAGGTGATGCTATGGACAAAGTGCTGCAGAAGCCGAGGGAAGGAAGGGGCTTATTTTCTGAGAAGTCAGCTTCCCAAAGGAGGTGAGTCTGGAGAGGTAGGGAGGGGAACAGCCTCTGCAGAGGCCCAGAGGTAAGGGGCATTTGCCTTCCAGGGCCCCCTCTCTCTCTCTGTGCCCCAATCTCTGATTAGAGGCTCTTTGCCTCTGACCCACCTCCCGAAGTCACTGTGCACATTCACAATCCTTCCTAGCCACTGCACACCTCGTCCCATGCCACCATCCACCTGTGGCTGCACCATCTGTGACCAAACCTGGGCTTGCCTCTCCAGGGCAAGCACACCTTCCTTTGTCCCCATGAAAACATACCCATCTTATGTCCTGTGTTCCCTGTGGGTGTTAAGAACCACACTCCTCAATGACATGTACAAAGCTCTTCCTCCGCCGTCATTTACTAGAGCCTATGAGGCAGGAAGAGCATGGATCATTCTTCTACTTTAGAAATGAAGAAGTGGAGGCTCAGAGAAAGGAAGGGACTGCTTCAAGATCACATTGCCCTTAAGCAACATTCCAAGTGTGTGCTTGAGGGTGTTAACGGGCACTGCCCTCTAGCGGTGTCTCACCTACACTGGACAGTCCCACCGTGTTAGCAAGGGTCTTCAGTAAATGTCGATTTTTAGACAGTGAGGCTTCCTGGTAGGTGAAATGTGTTAGGGCAAGGCGTCCCTTTGTGTGCTGACACTTTTTCTGTCTTTACCTTATTTATGAGTCAGCAACAATGAAGGAAAATGGTGCTCCAAGGTCAGAGCATGACGAGTCACAAGAAGCCACTTCTTGAATCCTAGTTCAAATTTAGCCCAAGAGAGTCCTGTATCTGTGGCATTAACTACTTTCTGCAGTGCGTTGTAGTTATTATTTTGTGCAACTATCTCCTCTACCAGGCTTTACGCAACTTGAGGACAGTATCTATGTCTGCTCATCTTTGTCATCTCCAGAGTCTGTAGGACCACGCCTCGCACCTAGCAGCATAACTTTGTAAATTACAGTAGGGAAGGGAAGACACTAAATGGGTTTACTCCTATTATCTTAGTTAACCTTACAACGTCACCCCAAGATCGGAAGTTAAATAACTTCTGATACAAATGAAGCTCAGAGAAGTTGCATAACTTGCCCGAGGTCACATGTAGCTGACTTGGGAATTCAGTTCTTTCTGGCTCTGAAGCCCACTCCTTCCACTGCAAATAAATATTAGTTCAGTGATTAATGAATGTCACATCAGTTTATCAGTCAACACTATAACAAACAAGGCCCTATATGAAGGAAAAGTTAAAAATGAATAAAACATGGTCCCTGCCCACAGGAGCTCATAATCTACTATGTGAGCAAAACAGACAAAGGACAATTACTCAACAGCACTGTGAAGCGTGTTGCACTGGGTGCTGGGTGCTGAGACACAGAGATGAACCAGGCACATCTCTGAGCTCCAAGGGCTCCCAAGCTTGTTGGGGAGACAGATGTTATGAAATGCCATAATTTGGTTATGCTGAGAAATAGAAAAGCGACTCTGAAACCCATGGTGGTTATGAAGGGAATGAGGTCCCATCTCTCCCAAGTTATAGCTCTTCTATGTGTCCATCCCTATCTCATCATGGAATGGGTCGAATGAGTTGGAATCAGGGTGGAAAGGCGGAAGAGTTGGAACTGTAGGACTGTTAAGTATTTTCCAGAACCAGATGTTGCAATGTATCCATCCGTCTATCTAACAGGCATTCACTGAGCTGCAGTGACTGCTTTTAACCAAGCCCTGAGCTGGGTTCTGGCGACACAGAGAAGAAGATAACAAGGCCACTGTTTCTGGGAGGTCACAGTCCAGTGGGGGAGATAGACATACACACAAATGATTTCGTTACAGTGTGTATATGTGCTGTCTCTTCTCTTTCTATTATCTCCCCCTTTGCAGGAAAGAAAAACCCCCTTCCTACAAGCACCCACTCCTGCGGGGCCCGGCCAGCAACTACCCCAACGGCAAAGGGGACAAGAGAAGATCAGTGAACCACAAAGATCCTTCAAACCCTTTTTAGAGACATGGAGTCCCGGAGAGCTTGTGGGGGCAGGCGCATGCATTTTCTGCTGGGGCATGAAATTTATCACCCTTCTCTAAGTTCCAAGACAAGGGTTTATGGGATAATGAATAGGCTAGTGAGAGGAAAGAAAAAAAATGAGAAATTTCATTATTGATTTTCCCTTTTACCAATGGAAAATCAATTGTGAGCCTTCAGCTCAAGGCTCAGGAACAAAACAGGAGGCTGGAACCAGGAGAGCACAGATGCTGTTTTCCACAACACAGAAATCCTCTAGGATGAGGAAAACCTACACACATCTCTTTTAAGAGGTTTGACACAACTCAGGTCAAAGCCCCTTTACCTTTTAAGTTATATAGTTACTGCAGTAAAATAGGCTGTGGTCATTTACAGCTTTAGAAATGCAATGTCCCTATTTTCTGATCCAAACAACAGCAATGACACATGCAACCCAAAGGCAAATGTACTGTTGGGAACAAGGGGACAGAATTTTTGAAATCACAGTGGTCTCAGATATATAGTCACCGTATCTGTAAGCTGCATGCTTCCTGGTTCCCCCACACGCCAGCATACAACTTTAAAAAACTGTTCTGAGAGCTATTTCCCAGTGTTCTGGGTAGTTTAATTGAAATTTTAGCTCCAAAGACAATAAATATTGATCACTCATTTCAAAAGTTCTATCATGGTTAAGGTCTCCAGATCCCAGATGGCAGGGATCAAACCTGGCCCCTAAAGAGGTGGGCATTGAAAATCTGCGATGAGGAAAGGGAAGTTGCCAGGTAGGGAAAATACAAAAGACAGAAGGATGCACCCTGAGGCAGGTAGGAATGATAAAATAAAACCACAGCAGTAACAATTCCCATGGTGGGGCAAGCTAAATATTGTGCATTTTTCTGAAGAGTAAAGTGCCTTTGTATGATGAATGGGTCCAGGGGAGTCTGCTCACTTCCTGCCTGTGGAAGCAGCAGGCTGAGTCACCATGACAGCCTGCTAATTAAAATGACCTCCCAGAAATGAGGATTAGGAGATAGGTAGAGGAAAGGAGGCTCGAGGGAGATAGGTCCTTTAGCACAAAGCTCCAGTTAAGCATTTTTTTTTTTTTTGGTTTCAGTTGGAGATTTATTTTTGAAGTTTGTTGCAAAAATCAAGAGCAAAACTTATTCTCCTTTTGCATGTTAGTTTTCAGAAATGATAACAAAGAACCGTACGTTAGTTGGCTACAAGTGTGTTGTGTATACAGCTTCTGCCTGCGTTCTTGTTGCCCAGAGGAACACAATAAAGTGGTTTGTTTGACTCCTCTGTTCCTCTGAGCATTCTTGACACCTTTCCCTGTAGGTCTCCCACTGCCTCAATCAGCCAACCAAAATTGGTGTAACCCTCACTTTGAGGTTGGGGACTCTGTCCTCAAGATAAGGAAGAACAATCAAGACTTGAACTTCCAGCAGTTCCTATGTCAGAGTCCTGGGGAGTTTATTTGACTGCAACCAGCTCAACGTGAGCCAGCAGTGTGGCAGTCTTTCAAAAACATTAGCATCATTTTAGGTATATGAAGAGAAGCAGACTGCATAAAATGAGAGAGGCGATAGTCCAGATCCATTTTTCCCTGGCCAGGCCACTCCCATAATGTTGTGATCATGTATTGGCCCACACTTTAAAAACTGCATCGATTAATTGGATCACAGGCCACACAGGAAGCAAGTATGCTAATCATTTAAGAGCAAAAACTTGGAGCCAGCTAACTCTGGGTTCTAATTCTGCATTCAAATGCTGGTTCTGCTTCATGAAGTCTATGTGATCTCAGGCAATTTATTTAACATCTCTGGATCTTAGTTTCCTCACCTAAAAGAGGGTAATAGTAATATCTACTTCATTATAATAGTTATAAAGATCTAATGAACTTAGGTGTGGGAAATGTCAGCAAGAATATTTATGTGCTCACTAAATGGTAGCTATGATCATTTGGAACGTGATCAGAATGGTGAGGTGTCTGCAAATCATTCCCCATTAGAGATGGGTGAGGAGACTGGAGTGGTTTATCCCCGAAATGAAAAAATGAGAGGGGTAGGAATAGGAAAGAAATATCACAGTCTCTAAAAAGTTGAAGGGACATCACGGGAAAAAGGAGAAAACTTGCTCTGTGTTTCCCAGAAGCAATAACCAAAACCAGGGAGCAAATCTCAGTAAGACAGATTTCTACTCAGGATAAGGAAAAATTTCTAGTGAATAGAGTTGCCAACCACTGGATGGACTCCCTTGGAAGACAGTGAGCTCCCCATCACCAGAGGTATGCAAGAAGAGTCTGAAAGAACATCTGTCAGAGAGGAAACAGAGAGGCTCCATTCCCTAGGGGGATGCTTGATTAGAAGCTTGATGCTCTGTAGCATCACCTCCTAGTCTATGTCTCTGGAGAAAAACGATAGGAGACAGGAAGTTACATTTCTGGATGTCAGAGAATGGAGTATGCAGTATAAAAAGTATCGTTTAACACTAGACACAGTGACATTAAATGTCTCTGAATTACAGCATATGCTAACATTTAGCATTCCTTGAGAGGGAAAAATCTAGCTATAAGGCAGACCATAGGGTGTGTTTGCAGTAGGACTGTCTGCTTCTCCACAGTGGCAGAGCAAAAAGGAAAGGGCTAGCCAAGACACCAGGGGTTGTCAGTGGCCCTTCCTGTGTCCTTGGCCTGCTCAGCTCCTCCTTAGCTTCCTGGGACAAGGCTACACCTATGGTCTAAACACAGTGGGGAAAGGTTTTCAGCACTGAGATGGAGGACAGCACCAAGCCGGTAAGTGAACCAGCCAGAAGCTACTGGCCCCACCAGAGGGTGCTCCAGCCCATCTTGTCTACCTACTTCTTTCTCAGATTAAAGCCACAGGCGGGCAGCACCAGCCAGGAAACCAGTGATCTGTGCATTTCTGAGGAGAGTGAGTCAACTACACACAAAGGAAGGGTGGGAAGGAGAGGGAACGTGCCAGGTCTCTACCTGGCTCTCATAGCTCTCCACACCGATGCAGCGGTAGTTTTGCTCTGCATTAATCCAGAGGCTCAGAGATAGGACTAAAGGTAGGTTTACCCTCAGAAGCCGTGGTAGACAAGCTAGAGGCGACCCAGCTTCTTTGCTGCTGAAGCCCACAGCAGAGGGGCCTGGTGATGCTGTTGTTTGCTTAGCAGCAGCAGTGAGTCTTCACCTAGGAGATTTTCTGTTGCCTTTTGAATGGGGGCAGGGGCAGAGGGCACAAAAAGAACTTGTATCCTTTCATTATGATTTAGCTGACACACCTGAGACCTGCCTTAGAGAACCCCAACTTATTTTCCAAGTCGTAAGAGCAGAGCCAACCATAGAAGTGTGGGGTGATAACATTTGTTGACCATCAGTTCTTACATCTACCAAATATTTATTGAGCACATACTGTGTGCCAGGCATTGTGTTACATGTCTTTGTATCCATTGACTTATTTGATATTCCCAACAGTCCCATAAGGTAAGTATCATTTTCTACATTTCCCAGGTGATAAAATTGAGAATCCTAAAGGTAAAATCCTTTGTTTGCATTCATACAGCTAATGAGAACCTGGATTCAAACCCAGCTCCCTTTCCACTACTTCACACTGGGCCTTCTCCATTTGTCTCCAAGTAAAATCAGGTTAAAGCAGAATCACAAGTAGACAAAGGCACCATTTAGATGTACTAGAGGATAGGGAGAGGGGAAGTGAGCATGTAGGTTTTCAGGCTGGGAAAACGTGCAAGGATTTCAGAACTTTTTAGCACCTGCTGCAGAAGCCCCACCTTCTTCCCATCTCTCACTTGCACATACCTGTCTGAGTTCCTTCTAGCCACTCCAGAGTCCACAAGAGAGTAGAGTTTGGGCAAGGGGCCCATTTATCACTTGACATGCAGAGGCTTCTGGATCTTCCAGGGGCTCTGGAAGCTCAGCAAGGTAAGTCATTGCAGGGCCCATCCTGGCACCTCTGGATTACTGGCCCCAGCAGATAATCTAGCTCAGGTTCCTTATCAGTCCCTCTTTCTAGAGTGCAGGAGCTAAGCCTTCTGTCCCTCAATTGTTACTCAGAATTCTTCCTCTGTATTCCTGCCTCCTGAGTAACTAAAGCCTGCCAAGATTAGAAGGCCTTTTCCTTGTGGCTCTGCTCAGCCAATGGGGCCCCAGGGTCAGACAGAATAGGGGAGACATTATAACCTAACAGGAAAAGCCTGAGTTTAAAGTCAGACAAACCTAAGTGTGAGTCGAGTCCCAGCTCTTCTGTTAACAAGCTGTGTGGCTTTGGGCAAAGAATTTAGCCTCTTTAAGCCTCAGGATCCTCATCTGTAAAATGGGAGTGATTAATATCTATTTCCCACATTTACAGTGAGGATTAAATTTAGCAACATCTATAAAATACCTGGCACAGAGAGGAACTCCTTTCCAACAACCTCCACCCTTGCTAGGATTGGAAATCCCTTTTCTTAGAGCCAGAGGAAATGCAGACGGAAGTACAAATGCTTCCTGAGTAGAGGACAGGAGTGAGAGAGCTGTGCAGGGAAATGACAGTTGCACTGAGAGATCACGTCAAGCCAGGGACCTAGGTTTATTCATCTCTGTGGCCTCAGCACTTCACACAGGTTAGGTAGCAGAGTTCAGTCCACAGAATGTGGAATGAACAAATGAGTGCAGAAAGGGGCATCCAATGGCCTTAAAGTTTGAGGGAGGAGAAAGAGCATCATAAGTTAGGGCTCTGAACAGACAGGAAGATGGTGTCGGACACAGTATTCACCCGACCTCACAGGAGGCAGAATTGACAAGACTAAAAAGGGAAGAGGGGATGGTTCTGCAAGATACCATGTGTGTTAGTCCATTTTGTGTTTCTATAAAGAAAGTACGTGAGGCTGGGTGATTTATAAGGAAAAGATTTATAAGGAAAAGAGGTTTATTTGGCTCACAGTTCTGCAGACTGTACAAGAAGCATCATGCCAGCATCTGCTTCTGGTGAGGGCTTCAGGAAGCTTCCAATCAAGGCAGAAGGTGAAGGGAGACCAGGCGTGTCACATGGCGAGAGAAGGAGCAGACGGGGAGGAGGTGATGCCAGCTCTCTTGTGAACTAGTGAAGGGAGAGCTCACTTGTTATCATGGGGCGGGCACCAAGCCACTCATGAGGGATCCGCCCTCATGACCCAAACACCTCCCACCAGGTTCCTCCTACAACACTGGGGATCAAATTTCAAATGAGATTTGGAGGGACCAGAATCCAAACCATAGCACCATGTTTTGTTAAAACAACAGCAACCACATCTTACCAGGATATATACATGGCTATTTTTACGTTACTTTCGATCGGCATGCAACATCTCAGGGATCATCTCTGTGAAGTAATCATACCAGAGGGCTCTGCCAGCTGAAGCTCAGTGCTTCCCCAGAGCACCCTC